AAAAAAAAAAAGAGTGAACACCACACCTTTTCAACCATGAAAGGAAGAGGATGATCCTGAACCTTTTCCATTTTTAAACCAAGTCTTACTTTATTGTAGGAAATGTTCATCGATTGAGGAGCCTGAAATCATCACTATCCCTGATCGTGGCTCGTACGTGTACTTTTTTATTTTCTTCAGTAGAAGGGCAAGATCTAACTGTGGTGTAGAAGATACAGAAGTGTATCAACAGATTTGTTCAATTCCTATTGTTGAGAAAACCTTTTTTTACAGCAAAAGACTTTTTTTGTGGCGATTAGATCGCCTATTCTTGTCCTTATATTATATGAGTTATACTGCTACTATTTCCTTGGGAAATTTTTGTCTCCGCAATGTTCTAAGTGAATATCTTTGGGTAGGAGTATATCCAAGAGGCTCCCAAGCTACGAGTTACCTATAAGCTTCTGGCTACTGCTTGACAACTGCATTTGTTAGAGTCCATGCTGACATCTCGACTGAGATGACAAGATCAAGGCAGGAAACTGCAATTGTAGCGCTGGGTCGTAACCGGTTTTAAATTTGGGCCTAGCCTGGAAAGGACTAATTCTACGAGGCTCTGAACGGTTCCTGACGCATTGAAAGGACCGAATTAAATTACCTTGGGCGTAAAGAGTCCAAAGTGCTGCCTTTCTGCACACAGCAGAAAGGCAGCACATTCACCTCCACTTCGGTGAATAATTGTTAATAATGTACTCCTTGATTTGAATCACATGCTCGCTAGTTTGTTTCCAATGCTGCGACCAGGAATCAATCCCACAGATACCGTGTTACCTTGTTGGTACTTATTTTGGCGTCGTTTTAATTTCGCGATTTTCGCTATTAAAAAATCGCGAACTTAAAGCGACACAAAAAAATTCCAGCAAACTTTAATAACCTCCTATATTTCTTGTTTTCTCAATTGAATGAAGAAACACATGTCTGCGTATTGTGTATAATGTGTAGAAGCTCTATGGCATGCCTACAGATGATAAACAGTAGTTTAACAGTCAAGTAAAGCAGCAGATAGAATCGGGAGGCGACAGCACTGATATTAATGTGGATCCGCGACTAACAGTCCTAAAACCACTTCATGCAGTCTAGTTGGTGGACCTTTGCAGCCACCTGAGTAGTCCTGTTGGTGTACGACACATCGCGAAAGGATGGAAGAAAGCCGGGATTTCTGGCCTCTTAGATGGACAAACGGATCTCCATCCAGAAGACCCGTTCACTGACATCGAGCTCGCCCTAGAAATTGATTAGAGGCCCAAGAACTTTATGCCAATGGTACACATAGCTCTATTCTAATCCATGGCTACAAAAATTAGTACTAATAAGATACATAGCGGCCACCAACGCTGGATGAAGAACAAAATCCGTCTAGTAGCTAAGAGAAAGTCAGATTTTCATCTAAATTAGCCTTGGTCTCTTTTAAAGGGAGGATGGACTCAGTTGCTCCTCAGCCTCAGAGTACAGACGCACGAAGACGGTTAGATGCTTACGAGCGTGGGCGTAATGGATCAAAATAGAAAAACTTTTGGAGGACTTTGCCTTGATGTTTATTTTGACCTAAATTCTACAATAACTTTCGCTTAAACCGTAGGAGAATGTAAGATGTAAAACAGTATTTCAAAACAGCTTTATTTTAACTTATACTCAACACAATGGCAGAACACAAAATGAAATTATTGCAAACTCAAAATCTATAAATATTCGTAAATGTATAAAAACATAAATTGATACACAAATATACGAATGAATGAATGAATGAATGAATGAATGAATGAATGAATGAATGAATGAATGAATGAATGAATGAATGAATGAATGAATGAATGAATGAATGAA